ACATTACCTTGTAAGAGGTAAAAATTTGAAATATAGAAAAATTAACTTGCAATTAAAAGGCAACTTTGTATCCACTTTGCATAAATCAACATGTTAAATACCGAACTTTGAGTAAAATGAGTTAAAAAAATCTTTGTCTTGTAGTTCTTATAAAATTATTGGATCAAATAGTTCAAACATACCAACTTCCCCCAACAATCACTCAATAGCTTTTTTTTCCTTCTTTTTTCAACCCTAAGCAACTGCCATTTGTCATATTTATAAGTTAAGAAAGCGCAGAAGAAAACCTTTAGGCATCAAATATGTACAGCTGCTTATGTGTGGATCCCTACTGGGTCACTCTATCTGTATTTTGTTTTGCATTCTATGCTCCTTTTTCCAGCTAGAAGAAGCCGTTGACTAAATAACTGGAAGCATCAAGTATTTTCAGCTAAAAGCAAGGTTCAAGTAACGGCCAAAACGCCACAAGTCACAGATCTAAAGACACCTTGAAAGCCTCAGACATATTTTGGCGTTCTCTGTTGTTATGCAGCTCAGGTATTTTTCTAGCATACTGAAAAAACCCAGAGAAACAAAACTAATCTAATATTGTGGAAACAGTGTTTCCAGGGTTGATGCCAGCTTGTTCTGAGGTAACAGAGACTGAAAAGTTTGATTTTGTGGTAGATCAGCCCCGCACTTGCTGCAAAGCATGTACCTTGAACTGAAGTTTTATTTTATGTAGCAGCAGCTTTAATCTGCTTGTACAGGTTGGGATTTCAGTCTTGAAAAATAATGTTTGTGATGGCACTTTGTAGGGAGGCATGGCAACCTTCATCACCTTCACAAAGCCAGACCTTTGGACAATTTGAAATGGCATCCAGTCCTTTGAAATGTAAAAAGGAATGGCTGCAGTGAGGTCTTGAGTATTATTTTGAAGTGGGCAAATGAGCAGCCTGTCTTTTACCACTGTCTGTGTCACCGTGGATGAGGACATAGGACCACTAATATTACAGGGTTTCGCTGCTGAATGCCTAGTTTTCCATTCTCAAACACGCAATCGGTTGATCTTCTGTATGCGTTTCCATCTATGGGATGGACTACAGTGTTTCTTCCTTTTGAACATTTTCAAAAGCAGTTTGAGAACTGCTGGATTTTTGATGAACAAAACCGGTTGAGTGGCTAAACCACAGGACATATTGTAATGTGGAAAGAGTGCAAAGAGTGCATCGAGGCTACAGAGAAACAACAGAGCAGGAGAAAAACTATAAATCAGACTTACCTTAGATTTGCTACAAAGTAGTCTCTGGTGGATTCGAAGCGTTACTCCCTTTTGCAGCAGTTTTCTTTTTGCATGATCGCAAAATATTTTCACACTGCAGACTTAGTCCCCTTAAAACACTTGCCATGTTCTAATTTGGTAAGGGTTGGTGGGCAAGCCCAGACTATAAGGTGCAGCTGCACCTGGGAGGCTTTGTTTGATGCAGTTTCAGCTGTTAGTTAAAAAGAAATGCGCAGTTACAGTGCGGTTCATCGTGAAACAGTTTCATACATATTTAGCCCAGCTGCCCTATATTACCAGTTATGTTTTTACAGCAATTAGCTCCACATTGAGATGGGACTTCAGCTAGACAGTAATATTGTATCTTAACTTAACCTTTACAAACTTCTATCCATCAGGTATATTCTTGAAGTGACTCACCAAACGTGTTTGGAGGCTTTGTTCTTTCTGCAACTGAGACGATCCAGTGATCTTGTCACGTTCTGGATTTTGTTCAGGTGAATATGAATATTCTGTTAATGTGCCTTTTGCTCTTTTGGTTTCTCTTAACCCCTAAAAGTTGCAGTTCCCATCAATCATTGTAGGTTACCACAGATAGCAATGACTGTATGGCCCAGATTTGACCGCCACAACTCAGCTAACCCGACCATATTAAGGGCAGATGTCAGGTGTGTTGTCTAGCCCAAACAACATCTTTGATGATTTTTGTTGATTGATTTAGTAGCTTGTAGTAATCGGTAATCTTCCTTACATTCGTTCATTGAGGTTTGCGGGTATTCACTAATGCACAGCTCTCTGAAAGTCCCAACATAGCATTTCAATCAGTTTGAGGCCTGGACTTTGACTGGACCATTGCAGCTCCTTGATTCCTTTCCTTTGCAGCCATTCTGCACTAGATTTGGTGCTGTGTTTGGGATCATTGTCTTGTTTCATGACCCAATTTGGGCCAAGCTTTAGCCGTCAGACAGATGGTCTTCACATTTAACCCGAGAAAACATTTTTTTCATGGTGGACAAAATGAATGCAAAGTGCCCAGGTCCTGTGGTGCAAAACAAGCACAAGTCATCACATCACACTTGCTGATGATGAGTTAATCAAGTGCATTTGATTGGCTGCTACTTAACTACTTGATTCATATGGAATATTTGTTAAATAAGCGGTAACATGCTGGTTTCTGTCCTGTTTTTAGTTCATCTGAGGGTGTATGTATCTCATTTTAAGATCTTTAAAGGAGCAGATTTGTATTATGTCTTAAGCAAAACGTTGTACCTTCTTAACGTGAACATGAATGCACATCCTCCTGACTGAAAATGTGGCAGCATGTTGCAAACAGAGGAAAATATAGTGGATGATGTTTTCCAATTAAAAGTAGTAGCATCTGAATAAACTCAGTGGAACTGCATTACAAACCCAGCTGTTACCATAATGTTGTACAATTTAATGTTAATTTGGTAAAGTGCTGAGCACATTTCCACTTAATTTAACTAAATACTACTTCCCTCTTATATTTGTTTCATATTTGAACATTACGCAGTTGAACATAGTGGAAACACTGCACTCTGTTTATGTGTGTTTGCCATATAATGCATTTGAATGCGAGGCAAACCACAATTGCACATTTCCATCTTTGTTTGCAGAAACAAGAGTGCCATTCGCTTGACAAAGAACATGATGTTCGTGCACTTAGGGTTACCAATGTGTTCATCACATACATGCTGTTTATACAGTGTATGCTTGTCGTTGTCATGCACTTTGATTAATGGAAGGGCAGACCTGACATTTGGAAATGGGACTCGTTGGGTTTCATTTAAAGCTCCCAGCCATGCAACAACCAGGTCCTCGGTGTAATTTGATCGTACGTGGTTTGCTCTCAGGGTTTTCTCCCAGAAAAGCTTTCTGCCATGTAGTTTAATATTTCTATATAATTTTCACTTTTCTGGTGCTGTTGAGGCAATTAAACTATGTGGTTAGATTTAGGAAAATATCATAATATTTGTGAAAATGCACCCTTTCGAATATCCTTAGAGAGAAAGCATCAGGGGAGACTGGGGGTAATTGTAACTTTTTACATTTTCCCTCATAATTCAAAGACTACTTCAAGCACACTAGTCATTTTTAAGAAAAGGAACATATACAGTACTTCATAAATTACTAGAACACCACCCAGTGTAAGTTTTATGCTGTCCTGAATTGCCAAAATAATTTCTTCTGTTTCTGCGATGGTTAATCCACCAGTCTGTGCAAGCTCTTTAATCAAAATGACATTTTTAAAGTTAAAATATAATTATTCTTGTATCCATGAGCTTTCAAATGAACTGTTCTATAAAAAAGCTGAAAAAAAAATAAATCATGTTAATCTTTTTTAATTAAAGCACCAAATTACAGTTATTTACTTGCATTTCTGAACAGAAAAATCGGTTCAGTGCTTGAATCTTATGCTTGATTTATTCATCAATTCTGACACCTCAGAGAAGTCCGGTGGAAAAATATGAATCCAGTCTGTTAATTACCTAATAAATAATAATGCAATTTTTATTTTAGAAACAAGTTTTTGACAGATTTCTAAACGATTTGTGTTTTCTTCTTTTTATGACATATAGTCTAATACATTTATTAAGCACTACATATGTGCACTACTAGTACAATTTGTACATTTTCACTTATGATGGCAAGACTGTAAAAATGAAGCAAATAACACTATATCTCAAATCTAAAAACGTACATAGAAAGGTTTAGCTCTTGGAGGTATGTTTAGGTTAGTCTGTGGATTGAAGGCATTTTCCCAGAAAGCCTAACTATTCTAGAGGTAACTATAATATAATCCTATGAACTGAGTATAAGTTACAATTTAAAACTGTTTTTAAGGTAACTTACATCAATATAGACAACAGATACTGACTGATTTTTTTAAAGATATTACCATATGACATAAGAGATTTTAAGAGAATAATGCAAGATTTGCTATTATACCTTCAAACTGACACCTTCTGTCAACATGTAAGCACTATTTTAAACAAAAAGATGTATTTTTTATTTTAGGTAGTCATTTTAAATGTAGACTTATTGCAATATGTCATCTTTAACAGTAAAGTCAGTCATCAACACAGAGAAGCAAGGCGCCTGCAGTCCTAAATGTTGACATTAACCCCGACATCAGCGTTACAATCTTATATTCTATCTAGTAGCGCCTACATGATTGTTCAAAATTATCTTTAAAACTGATGTAAATTAAAAACAAGTAAGTTTGTAAGCTTAAATTGATGCAAGTTCAAATTCACTGTCATGTAAATTTTAAACAGTAGAAGAAGAAAAATAGTGCAGATCCAGAAAGTTTTTACATCAAAATCAGTTTTGTCCCTGAGAGTTTATGCAGAAGTGTATTACAACTGCTCCCACTATCCTCTACTTTCCCTATGTGCTGGAAGGCTTCTCCTCTTCCTCACTGGTTTTTAAACAATGGCTGACAACCAACATATTAAGTTCTGCCATCTTCTGTTCCCAAGAATGGACATGGTAATAAATCCTAGCCATAAATCGAAGCCACTGAACAGTAATGTGGTAATGCTGTGCTCCTCCATTCCACACTTCCTCTGCTTCTTGATCATATGTTGTGACTCGCGGCCCCACTTAGTACACTATGTGACCACGCGCATTACCGTCTCCTCAGCCTGATAGTGTTCACTGTTTATATAAAGCTACAGGATGCTCTCCTGTTACTCCGTGTTTGGTACAGTGGCTTCATCTTGTGGACAGTGTTAACATTTCCTCATCGCGTTTACGCGACCGTTCAGTTTGGATGTAGCAGGTTTCCGTAGAGAGGAGGAAAAGCGTCGCCCTAGCAACGGAATGATCAGCAGCAGGATTCTTCTGCAGCGGATTGAATCTTTCATGAAAGAGAAACGCATTCAGCTTCTGGTTTACTAACTAAAGCCGTAATGGCTGCAAGCAACCCATCCGTGTTTCTTCTTACGGTGAACGGACATATTGAGGGAGCGAACGTGAGTGGGCTTTCTGTGTTTTAACCTAGCCTAGCAGCTGATTGTTCAGCTAGCATTAGCACCCTTTGAGGTAACTTGTGCCATGGATTCGTCTCATTTCTCAGTTCGTTTACCCTTGTGTATAGGTGTAAAGCTGATATTATCTTTGTTGTATTTCAGTTTCCAGAGTATGACAACTTGTACTGCAAATATTGTTTTGTCTACGGCCACGACTGGGCTCCCACCACGGTGAGTAGCTGTCAAGTCCTTTTCTGCATCTCGAGATTCAATATAAAATTACAGTTTTATATATAGTACAGGAACAATTAGCCTGAAAAGGGGTCATGAAGTCTTTACTAAATAACAAATGGTTAAAGTCCAGCCCCTACTGAAATTTCGTGTGTTTGTTTGTTTTCGTCCTATAGGGGTTGGAGGAAGGCATCACGCAAATTGCTAGTAAAAGCAGCCAAGCTTCGCACAGGTTGATATGGAACTTCCCACTGGCAACAACATTTAAGAGCACAAATCCATCTGGATGTGAGCATTACACAAACACACTCAAAAACACGTGGTTAATTGCAAACAGTTGCCCTCTGTTGACAAAAATATTAGATCCTTTAGAAGGAGAAGGACAAATTAGTTGCACTGTCTTTGCAGATCAAGAGAAAGTATATGATAGAGTGACAAGAGATGAATTGTAGAACTGACAGACAGCCAACCAAGTATGTGAGAGTCAACCGTCCAAAGTGCACAAGAGAGGTGAAAAAGAGAGTGCAGGCTGGGTGGAGACAAGTGTCAGGGGCGATTTGTGAAAGAAGGATAGCAGCATGAGTGAAAGGGAAGATTTAAAGGATGGTGGTGTGATCTGTTATGATGTATGGTTTGGAGTCTGGGAGTGATCAGGATGTACGGGACTGGAAATTAAAATATTAGAGGGACCACTCAGGTTGAGCAGTTTGGAGACAGAGTTTGGCATGGAGGGAGGGAAAGTGGAAATGTTGGACAAAGGATGGTGAATATGGAGCTGTTAGGCAGGAGGAAAAGAGGAAGACCACAGAGGAAAATGTTAGATAGGTGAGATTGAGGCAGATGATCTGCTCTGAAAATAGAAATAGAAGTAATATCTAGACTGAGAATTTATGTATTAATTAATGGGTTCATTTTCCAGGGCCTCAGCTTGTGGTGAGTGTTTATGGTCCTGATGTTTTTGGCAACGATGTGGTCAGAGGCTACGGAGCAACACACATCCCCTTCACACCAGGACAGTCAGTACTGCTTTCATTTACTTATTAGGTTTTTTTGGGGGGTGGGTTGCCCTACACAAGTACCATTTTCAAATGACTCGTGCTCACCTTTGAGCCATGTCAGCATGTAGACACCACCTGCTTCTTTCAGCAGGAAGAGCGTGAAACAGAAAATAACCTTATTTTTATTCTTCAGGCATACGAAAACCATTCCCATGTTTGTTCCTGAGCCCACATGGAGACTTCAGAAGTTCACAGGGTGAGATGTGTGCGGTCTTCTCATCTCTCTGCCAGCAGCTCGGGTGGCTTATGATCTCAGAGCAGTACAAATTGCGCAACACCTGAGCTAAAGATAGGCTCTTATTACCTGTATGGTGAGAATAATTAACATTGTTTTTCCTGCTTCTGTGATCAGTATGCGGAAAAACACAAACAAAGGTATTCCCACGTTATCTCCTGACAACCTAAGGTCGCATAACTTTGGTGGCATGCCAAAGTTATGTCATTTGTTGTCCTGACAGTGTAACTGAAATAAAACAGCAGCAGCACACTTTAAGGGCTTTTCTTCCACTTGTTTTAGCCACTTGTATCAAAGTATCAAGTTAAGGTTAACTTGCCTTAAAAAGCCTTCCAGAGTAGACTGAGAAAACTGAGTTTATCTCAAGCTAAATGCATATTCTTAAGCCAGTTTGTCGTACACAGAAAGGTTCACAAATTTTTTTCCTCTCCTCTGTTCAGGTGGTTGACAGGACGACGGCCTGAATACACAGATCCTAAAGTGGTGGCCCAGGGTGAGGGCAGAGAAGGTGTGTGGCTCTTGTCTGTATTTCTTTACTGTCCCAAAACTAGCATGCTGGGCTAAAGTCACATCAGGGAACCCGAAAGGAGTCCAGTCTAGTTCTATTAACTTCTTGTTGCTGTTGAAATAGTTGTTTCTCCTATCGCAGTTCTTATTCTAGTGACTGAGCCTTTAGATTCACAACAGATCAAATCACACAAGTTACTCATTACTCTGCAGCGTGTTTTCCAGGCTCTGGACTAAAACAAAAACTCTGTGTCTTATATTTAATGTTGCAGTGACTAGAGTTCATTCACAAGGCTTTGTGTCAGTCTCCTTTCTCATAATGACTAAAGACATGAAGAAGATGGACTATGACACGGGACCATCAGGCCCGGCAAACAAGCCCTCCGCCACATCTGGCTGATCAACAGAGGAACAACCATAAAACATGTGGTAACACTAACAGACTGAAGGAAATTTGGGCCAAATGACACGTCTCCTCATTAAGGCGACATTTTTTTCCCCTCACCGTGACAATCCCGTGTTCAAATGAGACACCAGCAATAATGTGCGCATCTGGAAATATTGTGTAGAGATGGAATTATACTAATGTGCTTTCAGTTATACATTTTGTACCATTTTTGAATTTTTTCACTGTTACTGTATGTTTTTTTTTTACTTTTCTAACACAAATAAACTACACATGTTGAGCACAGATCGCTGTAGTCTGTTGGCAAAACATCCCCAGCCCTAAAAACAACATGCAAGGAGAGACAGAGCGGACAGAGCTGAAGTGATACACAGTTTATTTTGAACCAGTTGCAGCTACAGTTGTCCTCATCTGACAGGGGTGCGGAGCCTGCTGCGTTCATTTGTTTAGATGTCGTTAAAATACCACAATGACTTTTCCTACAAAAACCCATTACACAGAATAATAAGGTATACAGAAGAACAGTATGTTACAATAGTACAAATGATAAATTATATTATACAGTTATAATGCCAACAGGTTGAGCACGTATCCAATAAAAAATAAAAAATAAAAAAAAGGAAAGAAAAAGCAGCCTGCTCCCAGTACTATGAGAAAGGTAAATAGACACGAAAAGAAAAGAATAAAGGAGGCTGTTTATGCATACAAAGACAGACAGCCTGTAAGGTCAGTTAGTCCTCTTGATAAAAGCATAGTGAATACATAATGTAACACAGAGGAGCTCGCTACACACAGGCCACATTTTCACTGCACCATAGTCACGACTGTGAACAACGCTGCCAGGGATTCAAGAAAAAACGTTTTCCGGCTGCAGCGTTCTCAGACTATTTGAGCGCGACGGCTCGAAGCCTTTGTTCTCTTTTCGACACTTCTATAAACTTTCCTGCAATTGCTGAGAGTGAAGTTTAAGGTCAGGCCCGCAGTGAAAGACAAGGCCGGTGAGAAGGTGACACATCTTGAGCTAGAATATCATAGTAGTGTTTCCATGAACAAGACTTAGTTAGCAAATTTTATCCTGCAAAACACATCAAGCGTTAAGTCTGTTTTTATCTCGTTCACTTTTTCCTTCTTTTATTTTTGCATATATTTAGTTGAGATTAAAAAAATGTAAAAATGCTTGCTGGTCTGCAGGGGTTGCATCCATTCATTCATTCAGGACCCCCAAACGTAAAAAGCAATCACCACCGCCACCCTCGTGAAAAGCATACGCACACGTACGGTCGGAGCTGCCCCTCCTTTTGTTTTTGCCTGAGAGAAATGAAGGTCTGCTTTAAGTGGATGTCTCCACGGTCCTGCAGAGTAGCTATCATACCAGAGCAGACCACGAGGGGGCGCCAATCCATATCAAAAGAAAAATTAACAAGGAAGGAAAAACAAGCTTTCCACAGTCACATTGGCAGTTATTGAGAAAGATCTGAAGAAACTATTCTGACTTACACAAAAAAGGGTCTGTACACCAGGTGCAATTCATCCATAGCTGAATGTCATCAACCCACCTTTCACAACCAAAATGACGAAAGACAAGACACTCGGCTCGCTGTCAGTAAATGTGCTGATGTTCAGCCAACAGTAACACTTTCTTACACAAAACTCTGAACAAAATGTAAAACAGCTCTGAAATATAAAACATTTTAACAATGGAGTCTCTGATCTCGAGAGCGTCAATAAACAGAAAGAGAAGGGGGGAAATGTCAGTAAGCGGTGACTCTACTGTTCAAAGTAATCAGAGTACGGCATCCTCCGAAATCACAGTCGCTATGACTTTGGTAACAGTTGTGCTTCTAAGAGAAGAGAATTACATAGCCTACCCATAGGGTGACACAAACTAGAGTAACAGGAAAAAAAATAAAATAAAGATGACACATGGCTTAGCTAGGTACACAGCTCCAAAACTCTGATAAGCTTGGCTATGGATTTACACCTAACACAAACAAAAACAAAATAAAGTAACCAACACAAGAAAACAACTGCACGTTTACGTAACATGACTCGCTGTTCTTTGCTGTGGGATTCCCTGTGCTATCAATAGACTGATCCTGGAACAACCCCCTTTGAAAATGTGTGTGTGAGTGAGTGCGTGTGTTCCCACTAGGTAATGTAATCCTGTAGATAGATTAACGCCAGCAAATCCAGTCAGAGGTAAACTCTTCCCACAATGCCAAGTGTCTGTCATATGCTTTAAAATATATTTTTTTTGTTAAAGCAACAATCACTGATATCTGCTGCAAACATGCGGGCACGCGCACACACACACACACACACACACACACACACACTTAAGGTTGTTGATGCCTAAGTTGCCCCTTGTTTGAGTTCCACTTCAGAAACTAATTCCAAATCAGTTTCCACTTATCAGACTGAGAAATGGGAAAACTTGTTCATGAAAGTACACTTGGAAACTAAATGCATTTCTCCTGCAAACGCGCACATATACACACAGACATACATACACAAACACAACCCTCCTTCCACACATATCCCTTTGAGCCTTGAAACAAACTTAAATTTAAAAAAACAAAAAAAACTGTCCCATGATGCCTCACTGCATCCTATTTATATAGCAAAAAAACCAAAAAATAATGATGCCACCACAGTTCATGTCTTTTTCACTACAAACATTTTGGGGGGGCTCAACATGTAGTAGTTAGTATCAGTACACTTGCATGTGAGCAAAAACACAGATATTTAAAAACAAACAAACAAAACATCTCCTCTGAGAAGCTTTCATTGTTATTCCTGTGAACCACTGAGGTCAAAGTTCATCTGGAGGGTCTGAAGAAAGTTCAGAGATCAGAGGAAGTGACCAGATGAGAGTTGTGACCATGAGCCGAGGCACTGTGTTTTTGTGTTTGTGTGTGTGTGTCGACTCGGCTGTTTTAAGCGGCTGGACGTCCTCCCTAAGCTAAGGTGTAGCGGTGAGCCCAACAGTCGCAGAAAAAAAAAAAAAAGAAATAAAAGAAGAAGAAAAAAAGCAAACAATTGTGCAAAATTCCTGCTTTGTAACACACGCACACACACACAAACACACACACACACACACGCACACACACACACACACTGTATAAACACATCTAACCATCTCTCATCTTTACTCCAGTGAGTGGAAGTTGACTCGCTGGAAAATACACAGTGTAAAAGTACTGAGATGTGCACTCTCTCACACACACACACACCAGCTGACAGGGCTTATAAAAGATTAGCTCTAGTGAAGAGATAAGATCCTGGCATTAGAACAGTCAGACTCTCCTGTCACTCCACTACAGAAGAGGAGAGGAGCGGTCCTAAAGGGAAGAAGTAAGGGAGAAATGATTGAGAAAAGGACAAGGAGGAGAGACTGTGGCCAAGTCCTGCCTCAGTGGAAAAACTGTAAACACTGACGCTACTCTTAAAAGTCTGTGGACTGATGCAAACTCTTTGTGGTCATCAACATTATCATTAGATCAGCATGGAACACAGGACTAGGCAGCTTGTAGGAGAGAAAGAAAGAGAGAAGAAAGGAGTTAGGGAGTGTGGTAAGGTAGGAGAGGGTCCTGCTGGGACTCTGGCTTGGAGTTGGTTATAAATGGATAATTGAGATAAGACGTCTCCTTGTTCGTTTTGAAGCTTCTTGAGGGGCTAAAGTTGAAGAGTAAAAGGAAGGGTTACTCCATGATGTCCCTCTCCCTGTCATCCTCTCACAAAAGGAACGGGTTGGTGGTTCCGGTGTTTTGAGTCCCAGCCTGGGGGGGCATGCTCATCAGGGGCTGGGGCATGGACATGGAGGATGGAATCCCTGCGCTCATCCCCATGCCTCCCACAGCACCCACTCCAGGCATCGAGTGGCCCATGGGGGCCATACCTGTCAGAGGGACCATGGGGACGGGCTGAGGAGGCATGGAGGAAAGGCCTATGGGCTCTGCCATGCTGCCAAAGCCAGAGGGCATCGGGCTGACGCGCATCTGGTTGAGGGTGGGGGGAGCTGGCTGGCTCACTTGGAAGGGGTTGGCCGGGGTTGGAGCAGAGCCACCTAAATAAAGTGAGGGGATAACAAACAAAGGAAGAAAACACATTAGTACAACAGTACGTTGTGTTTAGTTGGGCTATGTCAGTTGAACATTATATAAAGTACTCGCTAAAATACTTCAAAGCTAACACATTCTTCACCCATCCCACTAAGATTGTTAGAAAATAAATAAATAATAAATATATAAAATATTAGATTTCACATTCTCTTTGCTCTCCCACCTGTTGAAGCCAAGAATGGGTTGACAACTGGCGCAGGCTGGGCCGGTTTGGTCACCAGAGAGTCTAAATTGACCAGGGCAGCATTGGGACCCAGGAAGGACTCAGGAGTCTTTCTAGTTGGGTTTGTGATGATGGAAGTAGATGCTGAGGTGGGAAGGGGATCAAATATGTCCAGGCTGCTACTGCTGGCCAGGCTGAGTTGGGAGGGGACAGAAGATGCAATGCCCATATCACCTGAAGAACAAAAGTAGAGGTAGTCGTATTTTACAGCTGAACGAGCTGCTTTCAGAATTGGGCAAAGCATTATGGATTTAATGCCTACTCCAGTCGGGCACGGCAAATAATTGAGGGCATCTACGATACCGAAGAGTAGTATTTGAACAAAAAGAATTGATTTACTGTGGTATTCTATTTTGTTTTGTTCTCTAAACTTGCTGTCCATTTGGATTTCTCAGAGTCGCCGACCTACTAGCGGACATGTTTATCAGCACATGAGCAAACCAGATTCAGACTGAGAGTAAAACGAAACTGAGTTGATGCCATAAAATGATCAGAAGACGCTATTATGAGAAGACATCAGAGGCAGACAGCCTGGCTGTTTGTTGTGGCAGCAGTCAGATAGCAGTAGAGATATTCACTGATGCACTCATAAACCCAGCTTACTAGCAACAGCACGCGCATGCACACACACAAACACACACAAACGGAAATGTCAAAGATGAAAACTGCTGCCACAAAATAAGAAATGAAGTGTAGCAGATCTTAGAAACAGCCATGGTAAGATGAGATAGGCCTACAATGCCCCATAAATCTTGTAGATTTCAGCTGGAGCTCAAATCCGCTCCGTAGAAGGTCGCTTCACTTTATCCTTTTCCTCACCACCTCTTGGACTGCATTAGTGCTGCGTTAGTGTTGAGCTAGAGCAAAAGTCATCATCCTCCCACACTCAGACTAGAGAATAACACCGTCCAAACTGTTCACTGGAACCTTATCAGACACAGACCTGAATGGAGCTGTGAATAGGATTAGTTTAAATTTAGATGCAAATTCCCAAATCGAGATTTAACAAGAATCAGGTCATATCTGAGAGGGTTTCCCTAAACTGAGTCTGATAATTTATTTAACAATGTACCTTCAAAAGCTGCCCCAGATTACACCACAGTGAAATGGAACCAGACTGGAGCAAAGAGCTGTTTCCCGGCCACAATTTGATACAATTACTGCCAAATCAGCTTAAAAACCTAATTTTAGTGGTTATAATGCTGCCTTTGCTCCAGTCTGGTGATACTGACATATAAACACAAGACATGTGTGTGTCTCTGCCATGCAGAAGCAACGCATCTGCACAGACGGACACTGACAAAAACAAAAAACAAAACAACAACAACACAGACTCCATGTCATTAGAGAGACAAAGACAGGGTGAGTACCAGTGGGGACAGAGGAGGAAGAGCGCAGGCTATCAAACTCTGAGAAGTCTTCTTTGGATGTACCATTGGATGCGCTCAACAGGTCAAAGCTACCTGAAAGGAGAAAATGCATACACAAATGCAAGAATACAAGACAATACACAAAGTAGACAAAAGTTCACATAAACACAGAGCAAATACATAAAAAGACAAATGGAATACAATATGAGTATGAATGACAATGAATACTTTGTGTTGTGTTGCTCTGTTGTGAGTTTGAGTCTTCAAGTCGACTGAATTTTCATTAAAACCTTGGAAAATTATACAGTACAAAAAAGTATAAACAAGAATCATCCAATTTCAGAGTGCTTTAATTCTGTTCAACGGTAACAATCGAAACACATACAGGGATTCGTGAGTTTCACATGATTGCCAGTGGGTAACATAATGACAGCAGTGGATGCACCGACTTGTGTATCTGACGGACAAACAGCAAACCAATCACACGGACACATGCTGTGTGTCAGGAGGTAAACGCACTGCACAGTTGTAAACATTGTAAGCTCTCCATGTGAAACTTAAATTCAGCCATGTATTCTAAAAGTCACCGCAAGATTTTTAAAAAGCTCTTTGAAATCGGATGATTCTTTTTAAAACATTGTGTACTTGCAACTTTAATTTATTAATCACAATGCAAGAAGCAACATGACAGGTCACCTTGGCTATGTTTAGGGCTGGGGG